CTGCGGGAGAAATTTGACAGGTGTTTGCCCCATCCCGCCGGCTGGAAAGGGCAGCCCCTGCCCCGCTCGCCTGGCTCCGGGGATGGGAACAGGAGGGCACAGCCTGGTCCCTGGGACCCCTGCATCCCCCTGGTCCCTGGACTGGAACCCCCAGATCCCACAGTTGTGCCACCCTCCAAGCCTTCCAGCCATGGGGCATCTCCTGCTCCCTAAATTTGAGGACTGGGAGGTTTATTCCTATCCCTCACACCTTTTCAGTGCTGTCCGTCTCCACAGGAGACATTTCACGGCATTTGCCCCTTTTTCCAGCATCTCAGACCCTCTCTCTCCTCTCGCGGTCCGTGGCCGCGGGGTCGAGGTGAGAAGCCCTGGGGACGTTTGCAAGCCCTGGGGGAGCTGGGTTTATCTGCAGGAGCTGTGTCTGGCAGCGGCCCCGCTGGGTGTGGGGCTGCGCGGGACACGCTCGGTTGTTTACCAGGACGCTCCGTGTCCTGCAGCACCCAGCGCCCAGTGTGGGGCATGGCCGGGATGCTCCCCTTGGTGCAAATCACCACAGCGCACTGGGCCCTGCTGCGTGGAGAAGGGACACGGGATGCCTCAAACATGGAGGACTAGAGGCCGCCCGCTGCCTTTTGGGGTCTGCTGGGGTCGGAGGGGACATGACCGTGAATCTGCAAGCGGAGGATCCAGAGGGGTCCTGGGAGCGCTGGGTGCCCACAGTGTGGTGGGTGCAGGAGGAGCTGAGCGCTCTCCATCCGCCCTCGTGCTCGGCTGCAGGGCCACATGGCAATGCCTTTGGTACCCGAGTGGGGCTCCAAGTTGCCCTGCTCCAGGCTTGGGTTTCGAGGGATTCCCGACCTTTAGGAAGAATGGACACATCCTTCCCATGGGGACCTGGGCAGGGAAGGAAGTGGGACCATGGAGCATTTCCTAGGAAGGGCCAGAAATAGCCAGGGGGAACTTTTGAACCCAGCCTTCGCCGTTTGTGTGTGTGTCTCTCAATCTCTCTCTCTCTCTCCCTTTTTCTCTCTCCTTTTTCTTGCCTTCTCTTTCCTCTTGCCTGTCTGCCCACAGTCTTCCCAGGGGGAGAGCATCCCGAAGCAGGTAGACACCCTGGTAAGTGTTTGCTCCCAGGCCTTTGCCAGGAAGGCTGGTCTCGACCTCGAGATGTTACTGGGAGTGATTTGTGCCCATTTCGTTGCCACAAGTCCCCGAGGGACACCTGCAGCCTAAATCCCTCAGTCTGCCTCTTTTGAGACCTGTGTGGTCCCCCAACTGTAGCAAGACCCTCCAGGCCCCCAGCAAACATCCCTGGCTGAGATGAGGGCTGAATTGAAGGCTGAGGGAGTTGCCCAGGGTCGCTGGAAGAGGCAGCATCGGAGCTGAACAGGGACCTGGAGGAGGCTGGGGCTTTTGCTGCAAAGCCAGCTTTCCTGTCCAAGAGCTGGGGAGATGTTATTTAATCCCAGGACATGTAGTTGCTAAGACAGTGTAGACAAACGCCCTGCCAAAGTCAACGCAGACGGCTTCCCCCTGCCCCGCCGCCGGCTCACCGTGCTTCCCTGCACACCGGAGCCGGGGCCGGAGGGATAGAGCACGTCCCCAGCCAGGGTGGAGGGACAGTGGCTCCTGTGAGGAAGTGGAGCTGAGGGTCTTTCTTGCCTAGGGACCAGCATTGCTTCATCTCTTTGGCAGTCCAGGTGTGTTTCTGGCCATCTCCCAGGTGGATGAAGAGCATCAAGAGCTGGAAAATGCAGTGGGGTGTCAGGGACCCCCTTGGCTGCCTTTGCTCTCTTTTGGGGGCATCTCCGATATTTCTCCATCCTGTGTCGTGATTCAGATTGCCCTGTCTGGAGCCAGAAGGGATCTGTGTTGTTCAGACAGTGCCTAGAGTGTGGGGACATGCCGAGTTGGCCTGGGGTGGGACATCAAAGGCTGATAGCCCTGGGTGGACCCTTCCCCCCAGATCAGTGACACCGGTCCAAACTGAGGCTGGGACCAGCCTGACCCAGCCTGCCCTGTGCCAGACCAGATATGCAGCTTTGAGTGGGACCTCTAGGGTGTCTGCTCCAGAGGGGACCCTTGCAGCATCTCGGAGCCCGGCGGCGGGCAGCAGTGTTTAACAACACGAGTGCTTGTTGCTATCAGCTGATCGCTGCCGGGCGCTTCCTCGTGCCGCTGGCTGCGG